ATTTGCTTCTTTGAAAAGATCAGGCTGGATGTAGTGGTATTCTCAGCACTTTGGGAGGCAGAGGCAGGTGGATTGCTTGAGTGCAAGAGTTTGAGAGCAGTCTGGGCTGTCTCTACACAAAATACAAAAACTAGCTGGGTATGGTAGCTCATGCCTGCGGTCCCAGCTACTAGGGAGGCTAAGGTGGGAGGATCACTTCAGCTTAGGAGGTGGAGGTTGTAGTGGGAGCCAAGACCTCGCCACTGCACTCCAGCCTGGATGACAGAGTGAGACTCTGTCCAAAAAATTTAAAAAAAGAAAAGAAAAGAAAAGATCATGGGATGCTGAGGTAGGTGGATCACCTGAGGTCAGGAGTTCGAGAACAGCCTGGCCAACATGGGTGAAACCCCATCTGTACTAAAAATACAAAAAATTAGCCAGGTGTGGTGGTGGGCACCTATAATCCCAGCTACTCAGGAGGCTGAGGTGAGAGAATCGATTGAACCCAGGAGGAGGAGGTTGCAGTGAGCCAAGTTTGCAACCACTGCACTCTAAACTGGGCAATAAGAGCAAAACTTTGTCTCAAAACAAAACACAAACATCAATGAAATTGGTAAGTCTCTAGCCAGACTGATCGAAAAAAAAAAAAAAAAAGGATAGAAGATACAGGTTGCCAATATGGAGAATAAGAGAGAGGGAACATCATTACAGATCCTACAAACACAAAAAATTGATAATAAGAGGATGTGGTGAAAAACTTATTCCAATGCATCCAACAACTTAAACAAAATGGACAAATTCCTTGAAAGATACAAATGATGACGGCTCATTTAGTTTTGAAAAAATAGATAACCTGAATAGCCCTGTATCTGTCAGAGGAGGTGAATTTGTAACTGAAAACATTCTCACAAAGAAATCTCCGGTTTGTATAATACCAATTCTATCCAAACACTTCCAGAAAATAGAAAAAGGGAGAACACTTCCCAACTCATTTTATAAAATCAGCATTATACTCATCCCCAAACCAAAGACATTACAGAAAGGGAAACTGTAGACCAGCAACTCTCGTTAATCCAGATGTAAAAACAGTAAACAATGGCTGGGCATAGTGGCTCACACCTGTAATCCCAGCACTTTGGGGGGCCGAGGCAGGCAAATCACAAGGTCAAGAGATGGAGACCATCCTGGCCAACATGGTGAAACCTTGTCTCTATTAAAAATACAAAAATTAGCCGGGTGCGGTGGCTCACGCCTGTAATCCCAGCACTTTGGGAGGCCGAGGCGGGCAGATCACAAGGTCAAGAGATCGAGACCATCCTGGTCAACATGGTGAAACCCCGTCTCTACTAAAACTACAAAAAATTAGCTGGGCATGGTGGCGCGTGCCTGTAATCCCAGCTACTCAGGAGGCTGAGGCAGGAGAACTGCCTGAACCCAGGAGGCGGAGGTTGCGGTGAGCCGAGATCGCGCCATTGCACTCCAGCCTGGGTAACAAGAGCGAAACTCCGTCTCAAAAAAAAAAAAAGAAAAAAAAAAATACAAAAATTAGCTGGACGTGGTGGTGCATGCCTGTAGTCCCAACTACTCGGGAGGTTTAGGCAGGAGAATTGCCGAGATCACACCACTGCACTGTAGCTTGGCAACAGAGTGAGACTCTGTCTCAAAAAAAAAAAAAAGTAAACAAAATTTTAGCAAATCAGGTGTAGCAATATATAAAAAGATGGGACATCATGACCAAGTAGATAAGATTCCTCCCAGAAATGCAAGGTTGCCTCAACAATTGAAAATTGGTCAATGCAATTAACCATATTAACAGAACAACAACAAAAACACCACATTATCTTCTCAATAGAGGCAGAAAAAATTTCTGGGATTACACGCCTGTAATCCCAACACTTTGGGAGGCCCAAGTGGGTGAATCACCTGAGGTCAGGAGTTCAAGACCAGCGTGTAGCCACATGGTGAAACCCTGTCTCTACTAAAAATGCAAAAATTAGCCAGGCATAGTAGCATGTGCCTATAGTCCCAGCTACTCAGAAGTCTGAGGCAGGAGGATTGCTTGAGTCCGGGGAGGTCAAGGTTGCAGTGAGCCATGATCATGCCACTGCACTCTAGCCTGGGCGAGAGTGAGACTCTGCCTCAATAAATAAATAAATAAATACTTGTGATAAAAGCTTTCAGTATACTGGGTGACAGAGTGAGATTATGCCCCTGCCCCAAAAAAAGTTTTTAAAAAGAAAGAAGTTAGACACAAAATACTACATACTAATTTATTTATTTATTTATTTATTTATTTATTTATTTATTGAGACAGAGTCTTGCTCTGTCGTCCAGGCTGGAGTGCAGTGGCGAGATCTCAGCTCACTGTAACCTCTGTCTCCCGGGTTTAAGTGATTCCTGCCTCAGCCTCCGAAGTAGCTGAGATTACATGCGCCCACCATCACACCAGGCTAATTTTTAAAAATACTACATACTCTATGATTCTATTTAAACAAAATTGTAGAAAAGGAAAATCTATAGTGATAGATCAGTGGTTCCTAGGCTTCAGGTAGGGGAAGAAGCCTGACTACAAAGCGCCACAAGGGAACTTTCTGGAATGTCAAAAATGTTTATTCTGTGTCATGAGTGTGGTTGTGGTTACACAACTGTATACATTTGCCAAATCTTATTGAACAGCGCAATTAAAATTAATGAATTTTACTGTATGCTAATCATGTCTTATTAAAGCTGGAAAAAAAAAGTCATTCTGGAGCTGCTGCTGCAGTGACCTGGGGGAGGAACGTGCACGCAGAGAGAGCACAAGGAAGTCAACTGGGAAACCCGGAGGCAATCACCCTGACAGCCCGCTGAGAGCAACTGCAGAACACCACCTCTGGGAAGGAAACGGGGAGGGGCCACTGCCTTAAAAAAAAACCTCGGCCGGGCGCGGTGGCTCAAGCCTGTAATCCCAGCACTTTGGGAGGCCAAGGCGGGTGGATCACGAGGTCAAGAGATCGAGACCATCCTGGTCAACATGGTGAAACCCCGTCTCTACTAAAAATACAAAAAATTAGCTGGGCATGGTGGTGCGTGCCTGTAATCCCAGCTACTCAGGAGGCTGAGGCAGGAGAATTGCCTGAACCCAGGAGGCGGAGGTTGCGGTGAGCCGAGATTGCGCCATTGCACTCCAGCCTGGGTAACATGAGTGAAACTCAGTCTCAAAAAAAAAAAAAAAAAAAAAAACCTCTGCAGATTTGCCAGGGAGCCGCCTCCTGCCTGACTCTCACATGATGACCTGGAGGCCTCAACGCTCACCCTTCTTCTACCTCCCGCCCCTCACCCCAGCACCTGCTGGAGACCCTGGCCCTCCCTTCCACTCCGTGGGGCTCCTAATCTATCCAGTTCCACTGGCCGCCTTCCTGCAGCCAGAAACAGGCTCCGTCCACCTTTCCCAGTTGTTATTCACTCAGGTGAATGGACACAATTAGATGATCATCTGCAGGCTGTCTTTCTGTCATCATTGGCACACAACCACCACACACACTCACACACACCCCTCACGCCCACACCATCATGTGCACGCCTTTACACACACACCTTCACACACCCACACCCTCACATGTGCACACACACCCACACCCTCATACACGCACACACGCTCACACACGCACACCTTCACATGCACACACCCTCATATAGGCGCACACACATGCACACACCATCACACAGGTACACACCTTCACACACACCCTCACATACATACATGCACATCCTCACACATACATTCTCAAACACACACTCATATGCCCACACCCCCACGTGCACACCCTCACACACACCTCACACACATGCCCTCACATGCACACACCCTCACACCCTCACATGCACATGCCCTCACACGCACACACACCCTCACACGCACACGCCCTCACACGCACACACATGCACACGCACACACCTTCACATGCACACTCTCATGCACACACACACGCACACACCTTGACACACACACACACGCACACACCCTCACGCACATGCCCTCACACACACACACCCTCACATGCACACACACATGCACACACCCTGATGCACATACCCTCACACACACACCCTCACATGCACACACACATGCACACACCCTCACACGCACCACCAGATGCACACACCCTCACACACACCCTCAGACGCACACACCCTCACACACACACACCCTCACATGCACACACCTTCACACGCACACATGTGCACTTGCATTTTAGAATTTGTTTTTGTCCCTTTTAATCCCATCCTCCAACTTATTGCTCCTCCCCGTCTCCTGGTCTCTTCATATTCTGCTTCTTCAGGCCACAGTCTCTGTGAGAGCTGTTCCTGTTGATAGGCACTTGGCTCCTTCGTCCTTCCCACTGCCCACAGACTCTGCCATCTGCACATGTGCCCCTCCCACACAATTGGGGGCCTCCTTCTCCATGTCCTTGGCTGCCTCCTCTTTGTCTTCCACCCCTTACAAACCCTTCAGGGCCTTTTAAATACCTTTTCCACCTGTCTGCTTCCTCCATCGCCGCTGCCCAGTGTTAAGTGGGTCACACCATTTCTCTCCTGGGTGACAGCCACAACCTCCACCAGCCTCCCTGCCTCCACCCTTCTCTGCACAAGCCCATGTGCTCCTGGGGCAGGGCCCAGGTCCTTCCATCTCTGCAGCCACAGCACTTGCAGTTGGTGAGCGGAGGGTTCTGACGAGGGGAACTGCTGGATTGAGAGGGACAGTGTCCCTCCAGTCTGCCTCCTGTCCTATTCTGCTCAGACACTGGGCTGGGAGATCAGTGGCCATGCCTTGGCCCTTTCTGCAAGTCTTAGATGGACCAGTGAGAGGCATGCACAGTGGGGGAGTGCGCTGGCAGGAGTGGGGACCTGGCACGCCCCCAGGTATATGCCCCGCCGTTTTTTGTTTGTTTGTTTGTTTGTTTTGAGACAGAGTCTTGTTCTGTCGCCCAGGCTGGAGTGCAATGGCACGATCTCAGCTCACTACGACCTCCGCCTTCCAGGTTCAAGCAATTCTCCTGTCTCAGCCTCCCCAGTAGCTGGGATTACATGCGGGCACCACCATGCCCAGCTAATTTTTTTGTATTTTTAATACAGATGGGGTTTCATCATATTGGCCAGGCTGGTCTCGAACTCCTGACCTCAAGTGATCTGCCTGCCTCAGCCTCCCAAAGTGCTAGGATTACAGGCATGAGCCACCACGCCTGGCCCCACTCTGCCCCTGTTAACGTCGGAGGGAAAGGGCTTGGGGCAGCCTGGTGCCATCCCTGCTGACTCATGTGGACCTGGCATGAATCAGCACAGTCTGCCCTTCTTTTTCAGCACCCAAGGGGTGGCTGCCCAGGGCCTCTCTCCTGGCACAGCTTCATGAAGCGCCTGCCTGTGTGCACCTGCAGCCTCCAAGCCCTTGCCATGGTGGCTCTTGGTTCCTCCTGGGAATCCTGGCAGAGTAGTGCTTGGTCCTGGTCTGGCTTCTTGCATCCCAGAGGAGACTGCCATGGGGGCCCTTCCTCCAGACTCTTCCCCAATTTAACAACAGGAAGTGAGGAGTCCAAGGGGGCAGAGATTACCACAGGCCTGGCCACATTGCTAGGGGAGGCCCCAGCCCACTGCTGAGATCCAGTCGTGTACAGCCTCGTTCAGGCAGAGAAACTGATAAGGAGATGGTTGCCTGCTCACCCCAAAAGGCTGGCATGGATTCCTCTGCCCAGCCAGCTTTAGACAGAGAGAACAAAGGCTTTCCCACGGCCCTGCCAGTCCCCAGCCCTGCCCATCTTATCGCCATAGTTCACCCTCAATCACTAAGTCCCATTGCACAGAAGGGGAAGCAGGTGTCGAGAGCTGGCATGGCCTGTTCAGGGCCACACTGCTGGGCAGGAACCAAGCAGGGGCTGGAGCCTGGCTTGCTTCCCAAGCCAGGGTCCCCAAATTCTCTGCCAACTGAGGGAGGCCATGTCCCATTCCATTGATCTGGGTGCCATTAGGAAGGCCATTTCTGCACTTCTAGGCTAGTGACAGCATGTGGTTATTGGGGACAGCACAAGTATGTGGAATGGCCTGCAGGTGTGTGCATGTGTGTGGGGTGGTATATGGCTGTGTGGTGTGTGCTATACGGGGTGCGTGGTGTGTGTGTGGCGTATGCGTGCGTGTGTGATGTGTAGCTGTGTGGTGTGGTGTGTGTGTGCAGCATGGCATATAGGTGTATGGTGGGTGTGCATGTGTCTGTGATGTGTGGCTGTGGTGTGGTGTATGATGGTGTGTTGTATGTGCGTGTGGTGTCGTAGTGGCAGGGGGTGGTGAGTGCCTAGCACTGTCACTAGAAAATGGCCACCCTGTGTTCCCACCACCCTGACAGAGCCAGAAGGGGCAGGAAGGGGAGGCCCTGGCCACGGGCCAGACTTGAGCCTGGTCTGTGAGGCTGTTTTGGTCTCTGGCCTCACAGGCCAACAGAGAAGACAGACAAACAGGAAGAACGCGGCTGCTTGGGCTGGGCTGGGCTGGGCTGAGCCAGGCCTGGGTGCAGGGTGGGGCGGAGTGGAAAGAGAACCACTTGGATGGGGGCTGGGGGGTGTGGGGCCGGGGAAAGAGAGAGAGGTGTTGGGGGAGGGAGGAGGGCCCAGCCCTGAAGCCCTGGCGGCTCCCCTCTCAGGTCCCCGCACCTGAAACAGGTACAGGGAAGGTGCGCCCACACTCACGGTGTGTTCAAGACATGAGCAAGCGACTCCACGTCATGTGCGTGTTTGTGGCTGTGTCGTGCATGTGAGGGCATGTGTAGCAGGAGGGGGCCCCTGAGCACACGGAGGTCCCCAGCCCCTCTTCCAAGGACAGGTAGTTGCAGGTGGGGCAGGAGGAGGCGGGTGGGGGGTCTCCCTGGATCTCACAGGGGTTCATGCAGCCTGACTTGGCCACCACCCCACCCCTCCCTTTCCTGTTCCTCATCTCCGGCCAAACTGGCCCTAATTGTGGAGGAGGAGGGGCCTGCATGGGTCTGGGAGGGGCCCAGTGAGGGTGCTTTCAACCCCTCCTCGCCTGGGCCCAGCCAGAAGCAGGAGGACCCCAACTTGGGAAGTTGGCATGAAGCTCCCGTGAAAAAGCATCGCAGTCCTGGGCCAGACCCATGCTCTCTGGTCTCAGTTTCCCCACTTATAAAATGGCAATGCTGAACTAAGTGACCTCCCAGAGCACTGCCAGCTCAGACAATCCAGCCGGGGTGTGTGGTAGGGTGAGGGTGGGCGTGGAGGCTATGGCAGTGGGAGGAGGGAGTCCTGGACCTGGACCAGGGAGGCCCTGGGGAAAGGAAGGGAAACGAGAGGCCAGGGGGAAAGGGGGAGGGGGAGGAAGTCCCCTCCTGGCCAGGTCACTCCCAGAGGCTGGGCTGGGCCAGGGCGGGGCAGCCGATGGAGAGCAGATCTGAGCACCCAGCCTTCACACCACTGCCCAGCTGCCCAGAAGCCCAGGAGCCCAGCCAGGTAAGGGGCTGCACAGGCCTGCCCCCCTCCCTGCCCAGCCCCCAGCCCTCTGATGGTGGCCTCTCTTGGCCTCTGTCAGGGCAGGGGAGTTCTGCGTGTCTGCCTGGGTGCCCACTCCCAAACTCGGGGCTTGTGGGCTGCCTTGGGGTCCTGGGCACTGTGTGTCCGTCTGTCTGACCATCCCTCTCGATCTTCCCTGCCCAGGACTAGCCACACTCCCACCTCACGCATGCACACACACCAACAGGTACCAGCCACGCCGGCACCTCTGTAAGGGCTCTGGTCCACAGACCCTGGGTCGTGGGGCTAGCCACTTGGGCAGAGGCTGAGTCTGCCCATCTCCTCCAGGCCCTCAGAACACACGGCACAGCCCCACCATGCTCATGGCATCCACCACCTCCGGTAAGGCTTGTCCCCCATGAGCCAGGTGGGCACAGTGGGTTTGACGACGCAGGGAAGCCCCTCTTTCTAAAGGCCTTCTTCACCCTCGCCTCTGGTGTGCGCCTCTCCAGGCTGCCAACGATCAGGGGGGAGGGTACTGCCCCACCTCCCTGCCAGGGCTGGGGCTGGGGCTGCCCTTCCTCCTGGACCACATGAGCCTGGGGTATGTGTCCCCCATAACATGGCTTTCCCGGAGTCTCCTCTGCTAGAGGCCAGGAAGTGGGTCTCCGGATGGTGGTAAGGGAGGCAGGAGGCCCAGGTTAACCGCAGCCAGGTGGGAGCCTCCTCGAACCTGCGTTCCCCTGCACAGCACCCTCTCTAACCAGGCCCTCTCCCTGACCCCTGCCCAGCTGTGCCTGGGCACCCCTCTCCACCCAGCCTGCCCAGCAACAGCAGCCAGGAGAGGCCGCTGGACACCAGGGACCTGCTCCTGGCCCGGGCGGAGCTGGCGCTGCTCTCCATAGTCTTTGTGGCCGTGGCCCTGAGCAACGGCCTTGTGCTGGCAGCCCTAGCACGGCGGGGCCAGCGGGGCCACTGGGCACCCATGCACATCTTCATTGGCCACTTGTGCCTGGCCGACCTGGCTGTGGCTCTGTTCCAAGTGCTGCCCCAGCTGGCCTGGGATGCCACCGACCGCTTCCATGGGCCGGATGCCCTGTGTCGGGCAGTGAAGTATCTGCAAATGGTGGGCATGTACGCCTCCTCCTACATGATCCTGGCCATGACACTGGACCGCCACCGCGCCATCTGCCGTCCCATGCTAGCTTACCGCCATGGAGGTGGGGCTCACTGCAACCGGCCGGTGCTGGTGGCTTGGGCCTTCTCGCTCCTTCTCAGCCTGCCCCAGCTCTTCATCTTCGCCCAGCGTGACGTGGGGAATGGCAGCGGGGTCGTTGACTGCTGGGCCAGCTTTGTGGAGCCCTGGGGCCTCCGCGCGTACGTCACTTGGATCGCCCTGATGGTGTTCGTGGCGCCTACCCTGGCTATCGCCGCCTGCCAGGTCCTCATCTTCCGGGAGATTCATGCCAGTCTGGTGCCAGGACCATCAGAGAGGACTGGGGGGCGCCGCCCGGGCTGCCACACAGGCAGCCCCAGCGAGGGAGCCCGCGTGTCGGCAGCTGTGGCCAAGACCGTGAGGATGACGTTGGTGATTGTGGTCGTCTATGTGCTATGCTGGGCGCCCTTCTTCCTGGTGCAACTGTGGGCCGCGTGGGACCCGGAGGCGCCTCGAGAAAGTGGGTGTAGCCATGGCTAGGGCTGTGGGGGGTCACTCGGTCTTGGCCGCATGCTTCCATGCACCGCCAGCTGTCCTGAGCCCAGCCTGCATCCCCCTGCCTCCACAGGGCCACCCTTCGTGCTGCTCATGTTGCTGGCCAGCCTCAACAGCTGCACCAACCCCTGGATCTACGCGTCCTTCAGCAGCAGCATCTCCTCGGAGCTGCGCAGCTTGCTCTGCTGTGCCCGGAGGCGCACCCCACCCAGCCTGGGTCCCCAGGATGAGTCCTGCAACACCGCCAGCTCCTCCCTGGCCAAGGACACTTCATCCTGAAGAGCTGTTGTGTGTCTTGCCTCCAGAAGCTTTGAGAAGCTCAGCTGCCTTCCTGGAGTCCACTGGGAGGGGGACCCACAGAGAACAGGCCAGAGCCTGTGGCCCTGAGCTGGTACATTGTATGGCCCTGGACAAGCCACAGCCCCTGCCTGGGTCTCCACATCCTTAGCTGCATGAGGATGCCTCAGGTCAGCTCACTGTGCTGGGTGTGGGAGGGCTGCAGCGGAAGGCTGAGGGGCAGGAAGGAGAGAGCAGCTGCCCCCAGGTGAGCGAGTGGTCCCGGGGGTCTTCTAATCTCTGCCTCTCTAATCCCTCCCTTCCTCCCTCTGTTCTCATTCTCTCCCTAATAAAAGTTGCAGCTCATCCTCCACATGGCGAGGGGTCTCCTTGGATCAGGGTAACAGTGGTTGTGGAGGCAGCACAGAGACGTACATAGACCTGCCCCCCCACACCCACAGTCACGTGCACAGCTCCGGAACCCATGGCGCAAGCGGCCAAGCCTTCAAAGCTGCAGGACCTGCAGGGGAAACTTCTCCAGCCTCCAGCACCCACCTGTCTACCCCTGAGACAGAGAGCTGGCTCCCATCAGGGAGTCAACACATAGGTCTTTATGAATCACAACGCAGTGCTGCCAGGCATCTGAGCAAGGGCGCCCGCCACCCAGCAGCCACTGACCAGCCCTCCTCAAGGCCGCAGAAGAGGGTTTCCCCAGCCTCCTTCCTCAGCTGCCTCCCAAAGAGGCCTGGGCCAGGGCTGAGGGGCAGGCAGGGTATGGGGTGGGCATCCCTATACAGTGGCCTCATCCCACCTCTCTGCACAGGGTGAAGTGCAGGAACCCTGCACTTGCTGGAAAGGGCTGGAGTGAAGCAAGGGGGCTGGGGAGAGTGGCTGGCCCAGCACCTCAGTGTGGTTTGGGGGTGGAGTCCAGGTCCTGGGGCTGGGACACTGAGGGTGAGGCTGGGGCCCCAGGGCCCCGGGAGAAGCCTTTGTTCCTGCCCAGGCGGCTGCTGACCGGGGCCTTTGGGCTTCGGGGCCCAGGGCTGGGAGAGGTGGCAGGTGCTGGTCCGAGGCCCTGGCGGGCAGAGGCCTTTCCCATGAGCTCCTTAAACACAGAGTCCATGTTCTGCGCCACAGCCTAGTGCAGGGAAAAAAAAGGGAGGGTGATCATCAAGACCCAGAGCTCCACCCACTCCCAAAGCAAGTCCCTCAGCCTCAAGGTCACTCTTCCCCAGTGTGCACCTGGCTTCCCTCCTGCCCCCTTTGGTGTCTCTGTCACAGTCTCCTCTGAGGACAGCAATTCCTTGGCTTAGCCCGGAAGTGGGGACCCCTCTCTTCTTGCCTTCATCCTTTCCCTGGCAGAGATCATAGTCCGTCTGCCCACGGCCTCAGGAGCCACCAGCAGCATGAGGGGACTCCCAGGTCAATGTCCTCCCGTGGCATCTCCCGGCTGCCCTGTCCCTGGTCCCGGCTCCTGCTCCTGCATGTCTACCACATCTCCCCAGGCTCCCTAGGCCTGGGGACTCTTGGGCTCTCTCCTCCTCGGGCTTAGCCACTGTCTCCCGGGCTTCTCAGCCGATGGTGCTCACAGAGCCCATGGTACAGAGCACGTAGCAGGGCCCGTGCCAGGACCACGTCTTAAGCCTGAGCTCTGCTCCTGCAAGAGCCACTGCTGCCCCACCCCGATCCCCAACCAGCCACCCCCTCCTGCCTCCCTGCCATCTGTCCCTTTCATCCTCCCTGGCATGTCAAGTGCCTGCCATGGCACCGCCTGTTACCTAGCCCAGCTATAGATGCCAGCCTTGCAATCTGCCCTGGAATCCCCTGCCCCTACCAGGTAAACAGCCTCTACTCAGCCCTGATACTTCCCTGCTCAGAAGCCAAATGTAAATCCCAACATGCAAGCCCTGGGCTCCAACCAGACCACGTGGCCTCTGGCCCTCTCATCCCTGCCTCTGTGGCTGTACCTTGCCATCCCCACCTGCCCTCACATCTTTGCCTTCCTGTGTGTCTGGCGGCAGGTTCCCCTCAGCTGAGGCCAGGGAGTGCAGTTTGGCTCCCAAGGGGAGGCAGAGATCCCCCAGGACAGGTGTCCTCACTTGCCACATAGCCAGTCCTGGCTCTCACCTTATCAACCTCCACATGTTGCTCCAGACAGGCTGGGACCAAGCAGTGTCGCCTGTGTCCAGGGGGTCCCATGGCCTCGGGTGAGGTGCATGGCTCTGGCCTGCAGGACAGACGGGGAGCCTGGTGGGGGCCCTGGGAAGTCCCTGAGCTAACAGGGCAGTGGCTCCTCCCATCCTGGGGTGTGGCCAAGGAAAAGAGGCTGGCCCACTGGTCCCCAAGCTCCTCTAGAGCCTCTCCCTGTCACAGGCTGGGTCACTCTATCACATCCTCATCTCACAACCCCTCCCGCTCCCACATGGCCAAAGCCTGACCCCAGTCTCCCCGGCGTGGGTTCTCCAGTCCCGTCTTCTTGCTCACCGGTGGACCAGCTCTGATGCCAGGAGGCCCTCGGGGCTGCTCTCCGAGTCACCTGCAGTCTGCACGCCTGCGCCCACCTCCTGCTTCTCTGCCCTGCAGTGGAAAGGACCGGCCTGTTTTGAGGGCTCCTTTCCCTCAGGTCCAGGCCAGTAGCCTCCATGCCAGCCAGAAGTGGTCAGAAATGCTCATTCTCCAAGCCAGCCCACACCTTCCGAATCTGACCTGGGGTCGAGGGCAGGCTGGATGAAGGGGAGGTGTGGAAACCCCGAGAGCCCCAAGGGCGAGGCTCACTCACCCCGCAGGCAGCGTGATGTACTTGTGGGGAATGAGGCCCCGTGCGCCCTCGTGCTCTCCCCACCACCAGTCGCTCGATGCCCTCTCGTGCAGCCGCAGCACATCCCCACGCCGGAAGCTCAGCTCCTGGGCCGTGCGGCCCGTGTAGGCAAAGCAGGCCACAGCCTCCACGACCCCGTCCAGGTCTGGTGAGGAGAGGAGGTCCAAGCTGTGGGGGGTGTGGACACCAGGGCAAGGACAGGATGGGGCTCTCTGCCCATTGCCCTCACCATCCTCCTGGGCCAGTGTCTCCGCTTCCAGCTCCGGCTCATTGTCTGCCCCCAGGCTCTCCAGCGGGGCGTCCCTGAGGTTCAGGGTAGAGCGAGGTGGATGAGGGGAGCTCCTCTCCAATGGACCCCCCAGTCCCCTCGGCAGCACCAATGGTGTACCCCAGGCAGCGGGTGGAAGGTGGTGCCATGCACTTCTCGTAGACGGGGCCAGGCAGCTCAGTTAGGGGTGGGAAGACCCGATCGGGCTGCGTTATGAGCGTCTGCACCAGCTGGTTCACCCGGCCCTGCAGCGTCACCGGGTCCTGTCCAGCGGGCACGGGCAGCAGCGTGGGCCCAAAGCACACGGCCAGGTTGTAGGGGTCCATCATGTTCTCATCGCTGTACTGGGCCAGGCTGAGGGGATACTCACGTCACAAGCAGAGAGCCCACACCCCAAGTTCCCTCGCCCCCTCGGCTCCAGCCCCCACCCCAGTGCTCGCCCCGAAGCACTCACTGGTTGAGGAAGGTGAAGAGGTAGCGCAGAACCACCAGGACTGGCGCCGGCAGACGCCCCAGCAGGCGGCTCACTTGCTCCACCCGTGCTGCTGTGGCCTCCAGCTCTGTGGCCAAGGCCACCCGGAGAGAGCCGTGTGAGTGCAGCCACCCTAGCAAGTGCCCTCCCCACAACGGCCTCGGCCTCAGGTCCTGGCCTCACCCGAAGAAGCCAGCAACTCGCTGAACAGGTCCGGGGGGAAGAGTGGGGGCTCCAGGCTCCGGAAGTAGAGCTTCAGCACCCCAGCCACCAAGTCCAGGTCGTGGGCACTGCAGCCTTCCACCAGCGGGTCCTCCCCTGCAGATGGGCGAGTGATGTGGTGGGGGAGGACGCTGGTGTTGCCTGCCCGAGAGCCCCCAACCCCGCCCCCCCTGCCCATCCCCACCTCTCTCGAAGGCATCACGGATCTCTGAGACCCGGAGCTGGGGACCCGACACCCGGAAGATGCCTTCGTGCTGCAGGCCTGCAGGAGGACAAGGAGCTGGTGGGCACTGAGCATCTTCCCCAGCCCTGCCGGGATGGCCTCCCAGGCCAGGTGCCGGGAACTGGGTTCTGGGTGCCAAGATCCTGGGAGGGACTGGGTCCTGCTCACCATTGAGGTTAATGAAGCGAATGCAGCTCTCCACCACCAGGGGCACAGACTGGCCTGAGCTCTGGGGACAGAAGGTGTTTACTTCACTATGGACACCGCATGTCCTGTGTTGTCATTCAATTGCTTTTTTTTCCTTTTTTTGAGACAAGGTTCTCAGTCTGTCGCCCAGGCTGTAGTGCAGTGGCACGATCTCAGCTCACTGCAGTCTCGACTTCCTGGGCTCCAGCGATACTCTGGCCTCAATCTCCCAAAGCGCTGGGATTACAGGCGTGCACCATGAGCCAGGCTGCTTTTATTTTCTCTCAAGAACACATCATTGTTGTTGGCATAGAGGCCTAGCACGCAGTTTCTTTTATTCGCTCCTAGATGTCTGATATTTTTGATGAGGTTTTATTTGCAAATTGCTGCTGGAATATAAAAATGCAGTTCAATTCTGTACACTGACCTTGAATCAGTAACATTTTGAAACTCAAGCTAGGGGTGGTGGCTCCCACCTGTAATCCCAGCACTTTGTGAGGCTGAGGCGGGCAGATCACCTGAGGTTGGGAGTTCCAAACCAGCCTGACCAACATGGCGAAACCATGTCTCTACTGAAAATATAAAAATTAGCCAGGTGGTGCACACCTGTAGTCCCAGCTACTTGGAAGGCTGAGGCAGGAGAATCACTTGAACCTGGGAGGCAAACATTGCAGTGAGCCAAGATCGCATCACTGCAATGCAGCCTGGTCAACAGCACAAGACCCCCTCTCTCTCAAAAAAAGAAAAAAAGTGTTCATTTAAAGATTTGTTGATTCTTTTGAATGGTCTACACACATAATCATATCACTGACAATGATGGCATCAGTTCTGATCTTTCTGGTACTCTCCATGCCTGGTCCTTCCTTCCTTCCTCCCTCTATCCTTCCCTCCTTCTTGGTTTTCTTTTTCTTTTTTTTTTTTTTTTTTTTTTTTGAGACCGAGTCTCGCTCTGTCACCCAGGCTGGAGTGCAGTGTTGCAATTTTGGTTCACCACAGCCTCTGCCTCCCAGGTTCAAGTGATTTTCCTGCCTCAGCCTCCTGAGCAGCTGGGATTACAGGCACGCGCCACCATGCCCAGCTCATTTTTTGTATTTGTAGTAGAGACAGTTTCACTATGTTGCCCAGGCTGGTCTCGAATACTTGGGCTGAAGTGATCTGCCTACCTCGGCCACCCAAAGTGCTGAGATTACAGGTGTGAGCCACCATGCTTGGCCCTCTCTGATGCTTTCTGATATCAGTATTAGTTTTCTGATCTTTCCTGCTTCCCCTCATTTCACTGTCAAGGCCCCCCAGTACCACGCTGGCCAGAAGTTGCAGGGGAAAAGCTTTCAATATCTCGCCCCTAAAAATGCTGCTGCCCCAAGTTTTCTGTACGTTCCCCTTACTAGTTAAGTATGCTCCCTTCCATCAGCGAAGGCCACAGGGAGCCCAACAGAGGCCTGGAAGAGGTCCATCCAGGAAGGTACAGTTGGTGACTGAGACCCTGGGATCAGGCAGCTGCTCCAGCCACAGAGGTGACCCAGGGCTGGAGAAAGACCAGCACATACAGGTGGGCTGGCGTGTGGGGCAGAGCAAGTACCTGGATAAACTTCTCCATGTCTCCCCCAAAGAGTCTCTGGTTATACTGGGAGCTGGGGCGAGGGTGGTGGCTCTTCTGGAATTTTCTCTGCGTGTACTGGGTCCTGTGGTGAATGGGAGCTGGCTCTGAGGGGGCTGGGTGTGGAGAATGGGATGCCCCACCCCCCGCCCAGCCAAGCAGGCTTCTAACCCTCTGAAGTGATTCCACAATCCAGTGGGGAGACTGGGAAATTGAGGCCCAGGGGACTGGGCAGCTGAGTTGGGCCCCAGGGAGAGAAGAGATGGGGGACCACTGCAGTGACCCAGCTCCTCAGAATGTGCCAGGCCCTCATGAACGACTCACCAAGACATTTCCCGCTCCTCCTTGTCACCTGTGGGGTGGAAGAACACTGGTCTGCCTCTCAGGCCAGGGGTCTTCAATGCATTCCAGAGAAAAAGGCATGGAAAAGGGCCAGGGACAGGCAGGCAGGGAGGACCTCGGGCCAGATAGGGTCCTGGGCAGGGGAGAGGCAGGGAAGGGGGCAGCGCTGGGCCCACCTCGCTGAAGGGCCTCCTGCAGCTTCTCGTGCTTGGCCTGCAGCTTGGCAAGTATGCTGCGTCCACTCAGATACTCCTGGAGTTTCTGCACAGCCCCAAGAAGAACCCAAAGTTTAGCTCTGGCTTGAGCCCCTCCCTCTGCCCCAGCCACGCCCCCGTGGGTCCCGCCCACCAACCCAGCCCTCCCCCACCGTGATATAGAAGGTCTCAGTCTCCTGCTGCTGGCCACGCCTCCGGCCTGCCTGCCGGTTGCCTGAGTCTGAGCTGGTGGACTTGAGGGACTCGGTGGAGGGGTTGGCCTGGAAGGAGTCGAGCACATCCCCGTCGTCCAAGGCCACCACCTCTAGCAGGGCCTGCAGCGTCGCCTTCAGTGTCTTGTTCACCTGCGCAGGAGACCGCACAAGGTTGGTAAGGGGTTAGGGGCAAGGAGGGAGACAGGAAGTCCAAGTCAGAAGGAAGGGGCCAAAGGGAGGGGGCAGGCAGGGTGGCCACTTCCAACAGCAGACTGTACAGGCTCCAGGTCCCCGTCTTCCCCCCAACCCCAGGTAGGTCGCCCAGACCTCCTCTGTCTCAATGGTCTGTCGGTCCAAGCGGCTCTGGATGTTCTGGGCTCTAGGCAGAATCTCATCCCGCAGCTCCATTTCAATGCAGAGCTCAGCCACCTGCAGAGGGCAGCGGTCAGGGGGCTGAGGGCTAGGCTTGGACAGCAGGTGCCAAGATCCCCAGGGCATGAGAGATGCAAGCACCCTTTTGTGGCCTGGTGGCCGGGCACAGGACCACCAGCCCAGACACTCAGCTGAAGAATGGCAGAAGTGAACACTTGCGTCCAAACCAAGACGTGTACGCAGAGCTTCATGGCGGCACCACTCATCCGAGCCCAAAGGCAGGCGCAGCTGGAGTGTCCACCAACTGATGGATGACTAAACTCAGCATGGTCTATCCAAAAGAGGATTCGGTCACAAGAAGGAATGAATCCATTTATGTAAAGTGTCCAGCCAGGCAAATTTAGAGACAGGAAGCAGAGGAGTGGGTGCCAGGGGCTGGAGAGGGGAGTGGGGAGTAGTGGCTAATGGGTACAAGTCTCCTTTAGGGGGTGAAGAAAATGCTCTGGAATTAGATGGCGATGGCTGCACAACTCTGAATATACAAAAAAACCACTGAATTGTACTATTTATTTGGCCAGTAGGGTGATTCATGCCTGTAATCCCAGCACTTTGGGAGGCTGAGGCAGGCGGATCACGAGGTCAGCAGATCGAGACCATCCTGGCCAACAGGGTGAAACCCTGTATCTACTAAAAATACAAAAATTAGTCGGCCATGGTGGTGCATGCCTGTAATCCTGGCTATTCGGAAGGCTGAGACAAGAGAATCACTTGAACCAGGGAGTCGGAGATTGCAGTGAGCCGAGATCATGTCACAGCACTCCAGCCTGGCGACAGAGCGAGACTCCATCTCTAAATAAATAAATAAATAAATAAATAAAACTATGTAAAACAGAATGGTGGCCCGACGTGGTGGCTCATGCCTATAATCCCAGCACTTCAGGAGGCTGAGGCAGGCAGATAACCTGAGGTCAGGAGTTTGAGACCAGCCTGGCTAACATGGTGAAACCCAGTCTCCACTAAAAATACAAAAAATTAGCTGGGCATGGTAGTGCGTGCCTATAGTCCCAGGTACTTGGGAGGCTGAGGCAGGGGAATTGCTTGAACCCAGGAGGCACACATTGCAGTGAGCCAAGATCATGCCACTACACTCCAGCCTAGATGACTCCATCTCAAAAAAAAAAAAAAAAAAAAAGAAACAGAATGGCCGGGCATGGTGGCTCACGCTTGTAATCCCAGCATTTTGGGAAGCCGAGGCGGGTGGATCACCTGAGGTCGGGAGTTCAAGACCAGCATGACCAACATGGAGAAACCCCGTCTCTACTAAAAATACAAAATTAGCTGGGCCTGGTGGCACATGCCTGTAATCCCAGCTGCTCAGGAGGCTGAGGCAGGAGAATTGCTTGAACCCGAGAGGCAGAGGTTGTGGTGAGTCGAGATGGCGCCACTGCGCTCCAGCCCAGGCAACAAGAGTGAAACTGCATCTCAGTCAATCAATCAATCAGAATGGTAAGGAAGACTGGGGTCCGAGACACAGCAGGGAGGGCCCAGCCCCACCTCTTCTATAGGGAAAGGAGTGGACAGAAAAACTGCTCACTCTAACTGGACAGACATAACTTTCCCTGTGGCAAGACGAGAGCATCTTGCCTCCTGGGCAGAGTGGGGGCCAACACTTTAGGAAGGAAAGAATTACTCTTTTAAGCAAGCAAACATCCAGAAAGCTGCCATTAGTTAAAACTGAGACTGAGGACTCATCTGGGGCTAAACACTTGCCCTGCTCTCCATCCTCACCAAGCCCTGTCATACAGGACTGCACGAAGGCACAAGTCACAGAGAAGAAAGGAAGGCCATTCTGAGACGGGCTCCCACACGGCTGATCCTCGAGGACATGGGACTCAGTGAAAGGAGCCAGTCACAGAGGGGCCGGCACTGTAGGATTCCACTCCTGCGAGGGGCCTCACAGGAGAGCCGTGAACTGCTGGGGGACGGGCAGTAGAAGGGCGGGTGCCGGGGCTGAGGGGTGGGGAGTTGGGCTGAACGGGGCCAGAGCTTCAGCTGGGGAAGATGAACAGGTTCTGCGGCTGGATGGCGGAGATGGCTGCACAGCACAGGAGTATGCTTATGCCCGGGACGCACACTTAAACATGGTGAGCATGGCGTGTTTTACGAGATGTGTATTTTGCCACACATTTTTTTTTTTTTTTTTTTTTGAGACGGAGTTTCACTCATGTTACCCAGGCTGGAGTGCAATGGCGCGATCTCGGCTCACCGCAACCTCCGCCTCCCGGGTTCCGGCAATTCTCCTGCCTCAGCCTCCTGAGTAGCTGGGATTACAGGCACACGCCACCATGCCCAGCTGATTTTTTGTATTTTTAGTAGAGACGGGGTTTCACCATGTTGACCAGGATGGTCTCGATCTCTTGACCTTGTGGTCCACCCGCCTCGGCCTCCCAAAGTGCTGGGATTACAGGCTTGAGCCACCGCGCCCGGCCGCCACACATTTTTTTAAAAGTCCATCTAGAGTGGGCACGGTGGCTCATACCTGCAATCCCAGCACTTTGGGAGGCTGAGGTGGGTGGCTCGCTTGAGCCCAGGAGTTCGAGACCAGCCTTGGCAATATGGTAAAACCCCTTCTCTACCAAAAATACAAAAATGAGCCAGTCTCATAACCCGGTCTCAAAATTAATTTAATAGTTAATTAAAATTTAAAAATAAAATAATCTTAGCCAGGCATGGTGGGTGGCATGCACCTATAGTCCCAGCTACTCGGGAGGCTCAGGCAGGATGATGACTTGAGCCCAGGAGTTGGAGGCTGCAATGAGCTGTGACCACACCACTGCACTCCAGCCTGGCAACAGAGCCAGATCCTCTCTCTAGAGAAAAAATAAGTCTATGTATACCCTAGGGAACACTGAAATTTGATCCCTTCCTTAAACTCACGGGATCAGCAGAAAACTAAAGATGTGCTGTCTGGAAAGGATATAGCAGGGATTTGGAGTCAGGGACACTGGTCCCAGCTGAAAAAGATGAGTACAGCAGCCCTGACATCGGGAGCTGGCCTGGTCCTATCAGCCTGGAAATGTCCCAGAGCGTCAATATCAGGCAAGGCCAGTGTGTGACCACGATGGGCAAAGACAGAAACAAGACCACCCAGCGATCATGTCTGAGTGAGGACAAAATCAAGAATTTCTTCCAAGCCACAGAATCATCCCTCCAGCCTGGCATCCCTGTCTCCTTCTACATATGATTCATCAAGACATCCAGACATACAGTTACCCCTGCTTCCAGACAGCATCCCGTCCAAGGCCCAGCCCCACTTCCCTGGGCACTCCCCCAGATCCCCTAAGGCAAGCCTAAGTCCTCTGAGGCCCTTCCACCACCCTCTCGCTGAGAGGCCCCAGGCTCCCCCAGAGCAGGACTCCCTTCATCAATGGGGATTACAGCCGTCCCTGCTAGGCTTTGGCTGGATGCTGTGGAACTAAAACCAGTTCCAAGGAAGTAGTTCCAAGGAAGGTCCATACAGCAGAGTGAGCTCCCAGCCCGCTTGCCCCCTCCTCCCTGGACAGGGTCAGAAGAGTTTCTACTGCGGAAACTGGCCGGGCCAGGAGGAAAGACCACAGACATCCACATTTGGGGGGGTATATGTTCAGACCTCCTCTTAAATATGAACTGATGATGAAGAATCACCAAACAGAGACCGAAGCAAGAAAACAGAGCAAATGCAGGAAGAGGAGAAAACAAAATAGGACGTTTCTGGCCGGGCGGTGGGTCATGCCTGTAACCCCAGCAATTTGGGAGGCTGAGGTGGGCAGATTACCTGAGGTCAGGAGATGGAGACCAGCCTGGCTAACATGGTGAAACTCTGTCTGTCTCTACTAAGAACATAAAAATCAGCCGGGTGTGGTGGTGCGTGCCTATAGTCCCAGCTACTCAAGAGGCTAAGGCAGGAGAATCACTTGAATCTCGGAGGTGGAGTTTGCTTTAAGCCAAGATCGTGCCACTGCACTCCAGCCTAGGCAACAGAGCGAGACTCCATCTCAAACAAAAATAAAAAATAAAATAAAATAAAACAAATAAATAAATTAGCCAGGTGTGGTGGTATACCTGTAATCCCAGCTACTCAGGACGCTGAGGCAGGAGAATCGCTTGAACCCAGGAGGTGAAGATTGCAGTGGGCCAAAATTGTGCCACTGCACTCCAGCCTGGGCGACAAGAATGAAACTTCATCTCAAAAAAAAAAAAAAAAAAAGTACTGAATTCATGAAATAAGAATACAGGGTTGGCCAGGCACGCCTGTAATCTTAGCACTTTGGGAGGCCGAAGCAGACCAATTGCTTGAGCCCAGGAGTTTGAGACCAAACTGGGCAACATGTTGAAACCCTATCTTAACAAAATATAGAAAAATTAGCCTGGCGTGGTAGTGCAGGCCTGTAGTCCCAGCTACTCAGGACGCTGAGGTTGGAGGACCAGAATGTCGTGTCCGCAGTGAGCTGAGATCAGATCACATCACTGCACTCCAGCCACAGTGAGAGTGAGACCCATGTCAAAAAAAAAGAGGCAGGGCATAGTGGCTCACGCCTGTAATCCCAGTACTTTGGGAGGCTGAGGCAGGTGGATCACAAGGTCAGGAGTTCAAGACCAGCCTGGCCAAGATGGTGAAAACCCGTTTGTGCTAAAAATACAAATACTAGCCAGGTGCAGTGGCAGGCGCCTGTAATCCCAGCTACTCGAGAGGCTGAGGCAGGAAAATTGCTTGAACCCAGGGGACGGAGGTTACACTGAGCCGAGATTGTGCCACTGCACTCCAGCCTGAGTGACAAAGTAAGACTCTGTCTCAAAAAAAAAAAAAAAAAAAATACGAACATTTTCAGATGTGCAAAGTCAGGAAACCCTTGGTGAAGGCTTCCACCAAAACAAGGGTATCAAACCAAGAAATGCTGCCGTGGAATCCAGAAACCGAACACCGGGCAGGGGAGCGCCGGGCCAGCAGCTTCAGAGAAGGCCTAGAAGTGAAGCCGTCCAGACTGGGGGGCTCTGGGGGCAACACAGAGGAGAAAGTGGGCCCCACAGGGTGCCTGGTGCGGAGGACAGTGTTCCATTGAGCAGCATTCCTGAGGCGAGGCTGTTATTAATTCCGGAAGAAAAACTGTCCAAGCTGAAGGACATGTGATCCTAATAGTACATGGCACAGCTGCCAACAGTACCTGTTGTCATGGTGATTTAAACATTGAATGTTCATTGAGCCAAAAATTCTGGGATAAACTCGCTGGGAGAAGAAGAGGCAGGGAAGCATGCGGTGGCTGTGGGAGATGCTGGTGGTGCTTGGTCGTCACTGGCCAATGGAACACGGCTGCTTGACGCTTGAAGGGGGCGCCAGAGGCATCCGTAGGAAGACTAGAGGTGGAGCTAGGAACATGAGGGGTGGGTTTGGGAGCGGCTGTGTCCCAGCGGAAGCCCTGGTGAGGCTGGAGTCTTCGGAAAGGGGCCCGATGTAACCCCAGGTCATCACCAACACCCATCAGGGTGAACTGCTAAAGGAAAAAGCAGCTGGAGGGAGAAGTGTAAAGAAACCCGATTCCGAGGTTGCATGAGCCGAGCTCACACCACTGCACTCCAGCCTGGGCGACAGAGTGAGACTCCGTCTCAAAAAAAAAACAAAAAACAAAAACAACCGATTCCATCTTACCGCGTGTATGGTTCATTTCCTCCCAGGTTTGTGTCACAAAATTTAAAAACAGAGTGAAACCAGCCTAGAACAATGTACGGGCAGCCACATGGCCACCTGCTGCACGGGGTGAACAGTTAAGTGTCTTGCCCTCCTTGGACACTTCTGTAGCAGCTGCACTGCCTGGGACCACGGAGAGCTTGGATTCCACCCCACCACCTGCCATTAGTGAAGGCCAAAGAATGCTGAGCCCAGCAGGGGGTGACCCTCACCTCATCCCCGTCGTGGGGCTGGTAATCAAAGCGCAGTGGGGGACAGAAGGCGATAGCGTGCACCTCGAGCACCTTGGCCTTGTCTCCTGGAGGATCCAGGGACTCCACGGCTTCTTCCAGGCTGCCCAGGCCCTGCACTTGAGAGGCCTGGGCACGGCTCTCAGCAGCCATGTAGCTCCGGAGCACCTGCCCTAGGGCCAAGTGGAACCCTGTGTCGCAGCACTGAGGGAAACAAGGACATGCTTGTGTGGGCCCTGGAGCCTCGGCCTCCCAGCCCCAGGGCACTGGGCACCTTTTCCCACCCGTCCACCAAGGACTCACGTCCATGAGGTCCAAGACGTCACGCAGGTAGTAGTTCCTGACGGCGGCGTTGACGCTGGCCAGGCTCAGCAGGTACTCGTTGCGTGCCTTTGTGCACTTGAGTTTGTGCTCCATGAACTTGGCCTGCCGCTACTCAAGACAATGCAAGCCCACCGAGGTCATGAATGTAGCCAGTGCCTTTTATCACGTCCCCTCCCACTGTGGACAGCTACACCCAACATCCCCCAGGTCCCGTGAATTCAGCACAGCCCAGAAGTCCTGCTGCCTTCCTCACGCCACAGTCCACAGAATGCCCAACCCAGTGCCAGGAGGTGACCTGACTGCCCGGTTGTTCACCCAGCAGCGCTCTGCCACTCCTCACAGAACTATTCACAGATACCTGATGAGTGGAGGGTGTGCATGGCACCTCACCACGGAGGGTGCGTCAGAAACCCAGCTTGGAGCCAGCACACAGGTGTGTAGCTGGAAGCAGTCATTGGCCTCTGGGGAGGCTGGGGCTGAGGGGGAACGAGCACCCCAAAGGTTGGGGATAGATCATCAAGGACCATGAGACAGAACCTGCTGGCACCTGGGTTCTAAAGCTGGCATTCTATTTTTTTTTTTTTTTTTTTTTTTTTTTGAGACAGAGTCTTGCTCTGTCACCCAGGCTGGAGTACAGTGGCGCAATCTCGGCTCACTGCAACCTCCGCCTTCCAGGTTCAAGCAATTCTCCCACCTCAGCCTCCCAAGCAGCTGGGATTAAAAGCACCTGCCATCATGCCCGGCTAATTTTTGTTTTTTAAATAGAGACGGGGTTTCACCATGTTGGCCAGGCTGGTCTCGAACTCCTGACTTCAGTTGATTCACCCACCTCAACCTCCCAAAGCACTGGAACTACAGGCGTGGGCCACCGTGCCCAGCTAAAGTTGGCACTCTCACCACAGCAGCCAGGGAGACCTTCCCCCGACACAGCCAAACTCTGCTATTTCCTCTAAGAACACTTGAGGTGCTCGGCTCCCTCCTCTGCTCCCAGAGTCCCAGACCATCACCCCCAGCCCCACACAGCCTGACCACTCCATCCACGCATTTCTCAACCTCCTCACTCTCTCTACAGGGTCCACCTCGATGACCCTTTCTCCATGCATGTCACCCGATCACCCACCCTAAGTGTCTTCTCGCCCCTCTGAAACCTTACAGAATGGCTGGTGGAACAGCAGAGCTGCAGGGGCCCCGCCTGGAGCGTGCAGAGGCTGCATGAGGCTGTCCAGGGCCAGACAACTGCTCTCCCCGCTCTCTCAGGCCCCGAGAGCCTTCCACATGGAATCCCTGGAACCTGATGGCACTGTCCTGCCATTCCCACCCCCAGCCTGGGGAAGTCACCAGAGCCAGCAGGGTGAGTGGGTGCGGGCCCTCCACTCGCAGGTGAGAAGGGTCTTGCTGAAGGGGTGCAGTTCTCCCCTGCACCCAGCCCTGCCTCCCCCTCAACACAGCAGGTCCTAGTCAGGGCCCATAGCCCACAGGCTTGCTTCTGAGGTGCCCTCCAGGCCCACCTTCTCCACCAGCCGCCCACTCTTCTTGAGGGAGGTCTTGCGGAGGGGCCCTGCCTCAGTGGCCGCAGCGGTGGCAGTGGGTGCACTCCGGCCTGCCCGCTTCTCCTCCTGCCGCTCGGCCTCCCGGAGCTTGGCCTCAGCATTCACGCTCTCTGTGTGATACACCTGGTACGTCTTCTTGGCCTGCAGGGACACCCAAAGCAAGGCGGCGCTGCTGAAGGTCACAGCCCAGCCACTCCCCAACCCTCCACCCCCGCCCCTCTGGAACTTGAACCTCAGAGCTGGGCAATCCCATGTGAGCACCTGGCCTAATGCCCTGTGCCTAGGGAGAGGGGGCCTTTGCCCCTTAACCCCCAAACCCAGGACTCCCCTAGGTGCACACTTCTCCCTGAGCCTGGTTTGGGGCAACGTGATGGTCTGGGGATTTTCCTCCCTAATGAGTATCATTTCTCCCTGAACTGTTGGGATGGGCCCCTCCCCAGCCCTGTCCTCACCGTCTGGAGCTCTGAGACCACCTCCAGGAGCTCATCCTGCAGCTGCTGCTCCAGATCCCTGCTCTAGAGGTGGAGGCAAGGGTGAGCACGCCACAGCTCAGAGAGGCACCCACCAGCACTCGAGGCTCTGCCCAGCTCAAGCCCCATCTGGGGGGCACACAGGTTCACTCTGCCTGGTCCCCACCTGGCCTCCGGTGCCCTCCCAGCCACAGCACCTCCCAATCCCAAAGCCTCGAACACCTCCCATAGCCCAGGGTGAGAGCCTCACCTTCTTGACCAGGCGCCCCACGTCCTCAGCAATGTGACTCAGGCGCTGGGCCAGGGGCCCGGCCAGCACCTCGCTCAGGGCCGCGCTCTCCCGGCTCTGTTGCCGCGTGTGCTGCAGCAGCACTGCCCAGCAGTGCAAGGGTGACAGGAGGCAAGGCTCCTTCCTGGGGGTAGAGGGCACTGAGAGCCAGGAGCGGGAGCGGGGCCCTGCCATGGCCCCTGCCAGCACATCACCTACCTGAAGCTTTGGTGCTCCCGGCTGCTCCCCAGGCGGCCTCCGCGGCTGGAGAAACGCTCCGCCAGCTTTTCCAGGCCCCGGGAGTACTCCAGCTCCACCTCGGCGCGTCGCCGCATGAACTCTGCCAACTCCTGCAGCAGCTCCCGCCGCAGCTCACCCTGCAGCTCCAGGCAGCGCAGCTGTTCGCTCAGCTGCCAGCGCATCTCTGTTGGGAGACCATGGCTCAGGCCTGACCAGCACGCCCTGCCTGGGTCAGCCAGGCCAGCATGGGGTGGGAAAGGCAGAGACACACAGACCCTGATCCCATCTGCTCTGAGGGCTCCTTTGGACTTAGCATAGGCTGAAGGCAGGAGCTAAGAGGGGAGGAAAGGGCTAGGCCCCTGCAGGCAGATCTGGCCTCAGCTGTCCAGCTGACCTCTGCTGAGGCTAGCAAGAGATGGCCAGACCCACCCGGTTGAGGAGGAAGGGGAAGGGTGTCCCAGCAAGAGGGGAGAGCCGTGCAAAGGCCCGGAGTGAGAAGGAGCAAGGCCGCCCTGGGAAGGGTGAAGCCCACCATGGTGGGTGAAACGCAGACCCAGCCCGTCTCACCCCAACACCAGCCAGGCACCTTTCATTTTGACTTCCCGTCTCTCCGTCGTTCCTGGAAAGCCCCTGAATGGCTTCCCCTGCCACTTCCTTCCCCACTGGTACCCAGGCCCCAGGAGGTGGCAGCCTCCCTTGCAAACACACAGATACACAGCACACAGATCACAGCACTGCTCAGGGCAAGCCTGCAGCTAACTCGCAGTCTCAGTGGCTGGGGAACCCTGCCCGCAGGCCCCAGGGGAAAGGGCAGTCCACAGTGAGGGCTTCGTGCCAGAGAGAGCTGATCCAGCCTGATAAGTGAAAGGCCGGGGGAGGGAGCTAGCCCCTGTCTTCTGTCCCCACTTCCCACTCCTAATCACCCTGCCCCCACCCATGCAGACAGACAGCCCCACCCAGGGCCCCATACTGCCAGCCTTTTGCACCCTATCACTGGCTTGATTTGGCAATGCTGCTTCCCTGACACAGGCCTGAAGCAAAGAAGTACCCGCCCGGCAAGTTTAAGCAACCTGCAGAAGACGCTTTTGCCACCTGCTGAGTGCCCAAGCAGGTCCCGAGTAAATAAGATGATATCTCGGCCTCTGGCCAGCAGGCTGCCCACCTACTCATCACCATCCACATCCCGAGGGAGGGACATGAATTGATTTCTTCATTAAGCAGGATGTTGATTATGCACCCATTCTGTGACAAGCACGTTCTAGATACAGAGGCAAAGAGGGTTGACCAAGTGTCTACCCTCCTGGAGCTGGGATTGGAATGGGGGCACAGACGCATGTCCGTGGACTGATGGACACACAAAGCAAGATCAAAGCAGGGGCTGGGGGGGTGGCAAGGAGCTCTTTTTAAAGGAGGGTGGTCAAGAACAAGACGCATCGTTGGAGCAAAAAGCTGGAGCCCGCTACGAGGCGTGCCGGGGACAATCCGAGAGGCTGGTAGGGACAGATGGCACAGAGCCCATGGTCTAGGGAGAATTCCCAGCTGGACTCCGAGTGAGAGAGGTGCTTCATTTACAGGCCCCACCGCACTGCCTGGTGGAGCCCAGGTGGCAGCTACTGCACTAGTCCAGGCAAAAGACTGCAGGGTTTCAGACCGGAAACAGTGGGGGAGGACTCCGCTGGGAACAGCTCAATCTCGTTGGATTTCTGTCCCACCAGTGACTTCCCAGGGGCTGCTGCATGGAGACCCTGTGGGTGTGGCCTGCCCAGCATTCCTACCTCCTCTCCGATCTCCTCTTGGAGAACGTCCGCTCCCTAGTCTCAGCCCCCTCGACTCCAGGTGCCCCAGCCCTGGCTGCATGCATCACTCACCCCTCTGCCCCTCCACTCCCTGCCCCCACAAGACTAGCCAGGTGAGGGACCCAGGAGACTGACCCTTCCAATGGAATCACCGAAGAGGAGAGCTCTTCCCACCAGGGGATCAAGCTGTGTAAGTGGAAGCCTGGGGCGGGGGACCTTCCGACAAAGCAGAGCAGAGCCCATGGTACCAAGGGAGACAGATAGAGAGTGTTCTCATCCTATCAGACGCTGGCCTCCTGTGGTTGACTGGTCAGCTACAAAGGCCGGGTGGGGTAGGCGCTTATGCCATTTGAAATCAGAAGACTCCTCACTGAATCAGTTTAATGTTTTGTTTTGAGATGGGGTCTTGCTCTGTCGCCAAGGATGGAGTGCAGTGGCGCCATCTCAATTCACTGCAACCTCCACCTCCCGGGTTCAAGCGATTCTTTTGCTTCAGCCTCCCGAGTAGCTGGGACTAGAGGTGCCCAACACCACGCCCGGCTAATTTTCGTATTTGTATTTTTAGTAGATACAGAGTTTCACCATGTTGGCCAGACTGGGTCTGAAACTCTTGACCTCAGGCGATCCACCCGCCTTAGCCTCCCAAAGTTCTGGGATTATAGGCGTGAGCTACCTCGCCCAGCCCAGTTTAACATTTTTTTGATAAAAGTAAATTTCGCCGGGCGCGGTGGCTCAAGCCTGTAATCCCAGCACTTTGGGAGGCCGAGGCGGGTGGATCCCGAGGTCAAGAGATCGAGACCATCCTGGTCAACATGGTGAAACCCCGTCTCTACTAAAACTACGAAAAATTAGCTGGGCATGGTGGTGCGTGCCTGTAATCCCAGCTACTCAGGAGGCTGAGGCAGGAGAATTGCCTGAACCCAGGAGGCGGAGGTTGCGGTGAGCCGAGATTGCGCCATTGCACTCCAGCCTGGGTAACAAGAGTGAAACTCCGTCTCAAAAAAAAAA